CGTTACTGCTGCAAGTGTTTTCCAAAAAAAAACAAACGTTACTGCAAGTGGGCCGTGCCAGACAATTTTATGAAAATATGGGCAATGGGCCACCAAAATCACGTGTTTGTGTCGCTGATTCGGATTTGGGAAATAAAATGTGCATAAAAAATCTAACAGGGATTCTTCTTATAAAAATATCTAAGATATTCACAGGGTCCATATACACAATATAAAGAAAAAAATATGAGGAAATGAGAGAAAAGTTCTGATATATTAGAACTAAAACAACCCAGAAACCCAAGTTCGGAAAAACCATGAATTTTGTAAAATTTTTCATGTTTAGGTCGAGAAAAACATTAAAAAAAAAAAAACAAATAAATAAGGAGTTTGATCTTTATATGAATTCTGAATTGCCAAATGCAAGACCTACTTCATCAGTTGGATTTTTATGCTAGATGTTGATCAAAGTCTAATTACTACAGCTAAATAAGGTGACATGTCTACCTTTCTTAAAAGTAGACAGTCTGCCTTGTTTGCTGCCCCTCGACAGTTGACACTCATGCACGGGCCCTTCAACATACATATACAGTATAATTAGCTATTACTGTCAAGATTTAGAAATATAACCGCCGGAGGCCTCCTCGGACAATGCTCGAACTCACTTTGATCGGGTTTGAATCCCCTTCGCGTGGTTAAATTCTAAAAATTTGATCACTGGTCTAAAAACCTACTTTGTGCCCACAATTTGACTACTTTTCAAAAGTTCCCATGTCACCATATACAAATATATCATTATACTAGGTAAGGTTATTGCCTCAAATTGTTTTTACTCAAGGATTTTCTTTTCCATTAAAGTTCCCAAGAAAGGAAAAATTAATGAAAATGATTTCAAAACTTTGAGTTTTAACGAAAATGACAAAATAAGGGATAAAGTGAATAGTACCAAAATTGACTTTTTAGTGTAAAAATATGGTTTTTCGTTAAAATGAACAGTACTGAAAGTTTTTCGTTAAAGTTCCCTAAAAGAAATTGTATCGTGAAATTGCTTAGTCACTTTCATTTGCGTATGCAATTGAGTTGTAGGGCCTTGTTAACTTGTCCCCTTCTAATTTTGTGTGGTCTACTTGCTGTTGTTTTAATCTAATGGTTTCATGTTCCCACTGTGAACGTTGTGTAATTTTCTTACATAACACTCTTGACTCTTGACAGTGGTCTAATTCCGTGTGAACAATTTGGGCTTTCGCTCTCATGGGGCTTTTTCTATTCGTTACATGCACACACTCTTTTAAAGTCCGTCTAACTTTCTTTTTCTTCATCCTTCTTCTCTTATTTTTTTAGTACATTAATATTTTTACACTATAAAGAGGGGGAGTTCGACTAAATTCCATAATAAGCAACCTAATTTGATATCGAATTTGCCATCCATGATATCTGAACCTAAGTCTTTTCCCTCTCCTCTTTGTCCATCGCATTTGCATCTTACTTAGTATCCATTTAGATTGGTAAAATTAGATAATACTTCTTTTGTTAAACATATTAATCTAATTTATCGAAGGACTACCAACTTGTGCACGTCTTAATTTGTAGAAAGGTCGTTTGAAACGATTGTTTTTGGACTTATCTGTGACTTGTACACACACACACACACTTCCTTTAACTTGACCATTTGTTGCAAGTTTAGTCCTTTCCGTCACTTTCATAATTCAATCTTAGGGCAAGTTAGGCAACTCACCTCACATTTTAAAAATAAAAGGATATTTTGGAGCAATAGTCCATGAAATTACCCATGCTTTACATGCATGTAACTCCTCGCAACTCATTATTTGTTCATGCAAGTTCATCTTCAAACAAAGGATCCCAATAACACCGTGTGTGACGAATGTGTGATGAGGTATGAAAGTGTCGTGACATCAATAGTTGAGGTAGTTTTTTGTACTTTACCCTTTGTTTTTTTTTAATAATAAGCAGCCGCTTTTTTTTTTTTTTTTTTTTGTCCTTTTTTCTCACTCTTTTATCAAACATCAACTTTTTCTTTTTTTCTTTTCATTTTTTTCATTTTTTTTCACCATTTTTTTTTCTTTTCTATTACAATATTTAGGCCCCGACACCTTCTCTCGTCTTAAAGAATTACTCTACGAGATCTTTAGACGGGTAGGAAATTTTTTACAAGGCTAGGTAGGGAAAATATAGGTTAAAGAAATAAAAAAAAAGACTCACATAAACGCTCATGGTTGATTAGGGAAAATAATTATAAGGGCTGGCTAGAAAGGCTCAAACGAAAAGAAAAAAAAATGCCTATGTCATTTCCAATATTTTGCATGAATGATGAATGTAACGAGAGGTATAAAGTAAGTTCTAGAGATGCATGTAAAAATGAGAACATGCACACAAGAATAAATGAGATTGATGCATAATGATTCAATCTATTTTAGGCTCAAAAGCTCACAAAGGGTCATATAAAGTCACTAGATTCACATATGAAGTGTTAAATCATGCTCTAGTTTCACATCAACAAGGCTATATGCATTTGGTTTTCCAAGTCGCGGCCATCAAAATATGGTTAAAACAAAGATAATGTAAAGAACCTAATTTGGAAGTAGCCAATAAAACAAGCCTCCAAGAAAAATAAAATATTTTTGAACTTTTCAAAATTTTATATTTTTTTATGTATTTATTTTTTTAAAACTAAAATGAAGAAGACTACAAAATGAAGATAAGAATAATGAAGATAGACAACAAAGGTACAGAAAAAGAAAAATAAATGAATACAACTCTTGGACAAAGAAATTGTCACATCCAGGCCCGGGGCCCCACCACATTTCGGTCTCGACTCTACTGTAGCATGATATTATCCGCTTTAGGCCCTGACCACGCCCTCACGGTTTTGTTTCTGGGAACTCACACGAGAACTTCCCAGTGGATCACCTATCATGGAATTGCTCTTGCGCGATCTGCTTAACTTTGAAGTTCCGATAAACTCTGAAGCCAATGAACTCCCAAAAGGCCTCATGCTAGGTAGAGATGGGAATATACATATAAGGCTTACATGATCCACTCCCCTGGGCGATGTGGGATCTTACAATTCACCCCCTCAGGGACCCAACGTCCTCGTCGGCACACACGCGGGCAGGGATTGGCTATGATACCAAATTGTCACATCCCAACCTGGGCCCCACCACATCCCGGGCTCGACTCTACCGTAGCATGATATTGTCCGCTTTGGGCCCCGACCACGCCCTCAGGGTTTTGTTTCTGGGAACTCACACGAGAACTTCCACGCCATCACGGTTTTATTTTTGGGAACTCACACAAGAACTTCCCAATAGGTCACCCATCATGGGATTGCTCTTCCACGATCTTGCTTAACTTTGGAGTTCCGATGAACTCCGAAGCCAGTGAGCTTCCAAAAGGCCTCGTGCTAGGTAGAGATGGGAATATACATATAAGGCTTACAGGTTCCACTCCCTTGGGCGATGTGGGATCTTACTTCCACCCCTCTTATGGGCCCGACGTCCTTGTCGGCACACACGCAGCCAAAGATTGGCTCTGATACCAAATTGTCACATCCCGACCTGGGCCCCACCACATCCCGGGCTCGACTCCACCGTAGCACAATATTGTTTGCTTTGAGCCTCGACTACGCCCTCACGGTTTTGTTTCTGGAAACTCACACGAGAACTTCTCAGTGGGTCACCCATCATGGTATTGCTCTCGCACGGTCTTGCTTAACTTTGGAGTTCCGATGAACTCCGAAGCCAGTGAGCTCCCAAAAGGCCTCGTGCTAGGCAGAGATGGGAATATACATATAAGGCTTACAACATTCACTCCTCTAGGTGATGTGGGATCTTACATAAACTTTTTGGATTTAAAGGAGATGGGCAAGCAAAGATGTAGATGGAATCCACCCCTAAACTTGAATTTTTGTATTGGCAACACGATTAAGTGGCTCCACTTTTCTGCAAAAATACAAAACAATGGGTAAGCTAACAAGAGACTTAAGAAAATAATTTATTATTGAAAAATAAATAAAAAACTAACAATTAACATTAAAGCTAAACCAACTAAAACAATTTAACAATCCAATTAGTAAGTAATATAATCAAATTTGATCCCAGGCAATGGCGCCATAAACTTATTGCGAAAATTAGATAACCATAATTAACCTCATTAAGTCTCAAATTTTAGTGCTCGCAAGTATATGAATCATATGACAGTATAACATATAAGGACGGATATTATGCCACATAAATCAAATTGATTCTAAAGTCTTACTAATTAAATTGAAACAAATTATAATTGAGAAGTTTTAACGAGAAAGATATATATGATTTGAATTAAATTGAAATGACATACAACTTAAAAATAAAATGCATAAAATAATAAGATTATGGTCTCCTTCAAGCTCATAGTAAAAGGAAAAGGATCCTCTTCGGATTTTTTCTTCCTAATCCATCAAATCAGAGGATTCGTGTTGTTAAAATTTGATCTAATGACTGAAGTTATTATAATTTTTAAAGTAAGCCATTGTTTATAGCTGTTAAATTAAATTTCAACAGTACAAATTCTTTACATACGTTTATATTTTTTGAAAATAAAAATGTATGGAAAACGAAATTGCACAGCGGCCATCAATCAATGATTTTTATCTCCTTCAAGCCCATGGTAAAATGATTCACACCTACCAAATGTTTTTTAAAATTGGCCTCAAATAGGAATTCATATTGGTTTTCAAATTGAGTTTTTGGTAAAACACAAAAAAAAGTAGTTGCTTTAGTGATATTTTTTTTCATTGATAAGTGAGAAGTTTTTTGTTCGATTTTCACCAAAAACGAATTTAAACTATATTATTGTTAGGCAATTATGAGACTAATTTCACACACTTCTCTTTACTATAAATAATATCATTTTATTCAAAAGAAAAAATAAAAACAAAAAACAAAAAACAAAATCAAAAAGTAGTTGTTGGGGGACAGCTCAGTGTGGATAGTATCAACTGTTCCCACAGACCATTGCATATGTTTTTGCTGCTCCACAAATTTTAGTTGATCAAAGAGCTTTCTGCAAATTCCATTTTATAGAGAGAGAGAGAAAGAGATGGTTAAAGCAATGAACAGACAGAGGGTTCTGCTGCAGCATTTGAGACCCAATTCTTCTGTTTCTTCTTCCAATTATGAATCTGCTCCTCTTTCCGTAAGTTTATATCCACTTTCTTTTCTGTTGACTTCTTCATTTTTGTAAATATTTTTGTTTTATATTATTTTGTTTTTTTTTAGATTTTAATTTATTTTCTTCTGAATTGTTTTGTTAGCCTTCAATATGTGCAGATGGAGATATAGTGCTGCTGCCTACCATAGAACAGCTTCTTTTGGAGACGATGTAGTGATTGTGGCGTGAGTGATTTAAACTGACCGATAAAGTTACTTAATTTTTACTACTTTAAAGTCTTTGTAGAAAATTTATAGCAAAGTTTGTAACCTTGTAGCTTTTCTGTATTAAATCTTGCTGCGAAAATCATGTTAAATAGGGCGTATCGGACTGCCATTTGCAAGGCAAAGCGAGGCGGTTTTAAGGACACTCTACCGATGATTTACTGGCACCTGTTTTAAAGGTTTGGTACAATTCCTGAATTCCCAACTCAATTCCGGAGGAATGAATGTGTTTCTTCAAATTATGAATGTATCTGCACTGTCCCTATGAAGCCGAGTTTGAATCTTTGTCCACGCAGTTTATATTAATTTAAAGTAGAATATTGCATTTAGAAAAAAAAAAGGATAAGATATTGACCTATGCAGCCACTGGCTCACTTACAGCCACTGAGTGCAGGATGCAGCATTTTACGCTGGCTTCCCGGGTAAGTTTTCAACCATATTTGATGTTTGGAGGCCTTTTGTTTTGGCATTAATTTTAGCTTAGTGTTATGGTCTGTCGGGTAAGTTTCAAGGAAGCTTCCTAATTCAACCTACGTACGTTGTCAATAAGATTCTTAAACCTTTGATTAGATACCGTTGATGTTTCCAAAGCCACATTAGATACTGTTGATGTTTCCAAAACCAACTTACAAAGTTATCCTCTTTTCACGTTTTTCAAACTTCACCTATTGTCTTGCTTCAAGTTCATGCACATATAATTATATTTAAGATTGACAGCTGCTTGTAACTTTGAATAAGAAAAACAATAACGTTTTGTGTGTACAACTTAATCTCCTTGGTTTACCTTTTTACCTTCGTTTAACAAATATTTTGCTAGTAGGATTTTAAGAATCAAAGTACAGGTTTCTTTTTTTTATTTTTTTTTATTTTTTAGTAAAATACAAGTTAGTTAGACAGGACCAATCTGTATCAATATGTCTTGGCAAAGTTTCTCTAAAAAGCTAAGCATGTCTATGGTGAATAAGAACACAAGGAATCTAGTGATTGAGTTTGAGAAAAAAAACGTACATATACATGCTAAAAGTTAGACCGTAACCATTTCAATCACTAATGCCCTTTGTTCTTATTTAGATTTGAATATTTACAATGTATAAAAGCCCAGAACGAGAGAATGTGGTTATAGATTCGGTAACTCAATATTTTTAAAATAACGCGCTAACCCTCAAGAGGCCGTGGCCCACATTCCGGTCTCAATGTGTTCACTTTTCATTATTTATACCCCACACAGAAAGCGAGGCGAGCCACAAACACACAACACACACACGCGAGAGAGAGAGAGAGAGAGAGAGAGAGAGAGAGGGAGAGAGAGAGAGAGAGAGAGAGAGACGGCAGCGATGGAAAACATTGGAGGAGCTGCAGAAAAGGGGCTGAAGCAGCAGAAGAACTCAGATGTGAATGAGGGGAAAGAAGCAGAGAAAGCTATGAAGATGAAGCCGACCTCAACAGAAGAGGAGATGGTGAAGATCATGGTTCCGAGGGAGACAAACGGCTCATGCTTCAAGCCAAAAGCTGGAAGTGTGTTTCCCGCCAAAAGAAAATCCGTGAAACGCATGATGTTTGATCGTTTTGTGCTCAAGCACTTTGGCTCCTCTGCTGTGAGCGTGTGGCCTCCCAATCCCCACAAACCCTAATAAAATGTATAGCGATCTTCTCTCTCACTTCTCATCACAACACATGAAACACCCCCAAATTACACACCAAGACAGAAGATAGAATTCACCCCATACCCACTACCCCCAACAAACCCGCATGTGTAATTATCATTCAGCACCTTACTCTTTGCAGAAGCACTTGGTTCATGATGTGTGGCTTTTTAATGTTATATGTTGATCTCTGGTTAATTTTAATTCAATGCATAAACACTTCATTTATTATGTGTTTTTGTTCCGTACATATGGATGCTCGTAGTTCCCATCACTCACATCAGCAAGACACTCGCAAACAAAGGAGACCATCATTTATTCTTTTTTATCCAGGGACCCATTTTTCTTTTCTTTTTTGGACACGTCAACTTAATGGTGGCTGTCCGAACGTGATTGGACGAAATTAAAAAAATAATTAAATGGGAAAGTTTGAGGGTGGTCTTGTGACACGTCAACTTAATGGTCGCCCAAGCCGCCTTGGCGCCTGCCTAATTCCTTCCCCGCCCGATTAAGAGTTAATCCCTGCGGCTGGCCACCGCCCAGCTCCTAGGCGTCCCCTAGACGGATTTTAAGAACTCTGCTATTCATAATATGTTTTTATACCATATTTTTATATCAACTTAGATGACATCTGATATATACATGCGCATCATTTGAGTTTGAGTTAAAAATCTGATTAATTCAAATGATATGTTGTCCACGTATGCGTATGAAAATGTGGTACAACTCGAGTGTCCGTCAAATATCAAAAGTTTTTCTCCTCCCAGAACACCATCTCTGACGACTGACCGTCTTCCTCCGTCTCTGCTTCGATCCTAACGACGTTGTCTTGGTCTCGTCGTGATTCGCCAAGCCAAAACGCTGTGTTCTGCCGGATTTACTTCGCCTCGGTCTTTATATGTGAGAAAAAAAACAGAGAGAAAGAGAGAGGGGAATTGAACGTCGAAACGCCGGCTTATCGGGATTTGGGGGTTTCTATGGGGCTCGGCAGCGATGAAGAGGTTGTGGTTGAAGAAAGCGATGGTGTTGGCGGTGGCGGTGGTTGTGGAGGCAAATCGTACGGAGGTTCTGTTTCCTGCTCGATTTGCCTTGAAGTCGTGGCCGATAATGGGGATAGATCTTGGGCCAAGCTGCAATGCGGGCATGAATTTCATCTAGGTGAGTCAAAATTGAATCTAATTTGGATTTTGATTTTCCGGTGCTGGGTTGTTTGATTGGTCGAGACAATTGTAAGAAAGATAAGAAATTGAAGAAATATAAATTACGAAATTTAAACTGAATTATGCTTCATTGAATTAAAGCTTTGGTTTTGTTGGGTTGTCATTGTTCTAGACTTACATATACATATATATACATATATGGTTCTTTCATAATCTGTTGGTTATGCAAGATATGATGATTAGATCTTTCATGTAGTTGTATTTCTACATTTCGCTTTGTTGTAGTTGTTTGATTCAATAGATCATTCTTCAGATTACTTTGATAAAATTTGACGTCAGTATATTTTTCCGAATATAGTATTACTTGATTTTTAAATCACCTCATATCAGAAAATGGCGTTGCATGTTTACTGAGGCATAGTTATATAGTTCTTATAAGGACATAAGTTTAGTTATGCCTTTTCACTGAAGATGATACCGAGCTTTCATGTTCCTTTATTTTTTTGTTTTCATTCTTTCAGATTGCATTGGTTCAGCCTTCAATATAAAAGGGGCAATGCAATGCCCTAATTGTCGGAAAATCGAGAAAGGTCAATGATTTTATTCTAATGGATGCCGTTCATTTCCGGAATTGAACTTGGAAGACTGGACACATGATGAGGATCTCTATGATTTAAGTTATCCTGAAATGGTATATAGTTTAGATACTTGTTGAATTTTAACTTGTATTTTTCAGTTCCTTTTTGTGAATATTCAAGTTTTGTAGTCAAAAACTCTTGTTAATGGTTTTCCAGAATTAACAGTGTTTTAGGCAATTTTCTCTTTTAGTATATATATAATATAATATAATTTGCTTCCTCAAACCCGAAGCTCCGATTGCATCCATTGTCATTTCGATGTGGGAGAGGGTAGTTGTTGGTCTTCCTTTCTCTCCGCTCCCCATACCTCTCGCCGTAAAGCCCACAAACCAAGTAGTGAGCGGTCATGCTCGGTTCGGGGGTTAGGTTTCTGAGGGGATGGGTTTTAGTGACAGGGAGATAGCGATTCGAAGGAGTGAAAGAGAGTTGTGCTCGATTTGGGTGGGGGTGTAGGGTTAGGAGAATGGGCTGCGTGTTGGTTGCACGGAGAGAGAGGGAGAATTCGATCGGCAACCCATGGATGATATTTCGGTCAAACTCGCAGATCCATGTTCGATCCTCCAATTTCTCAGCAAAACATTCATCCAGTTCCCAGATCCACAAGAAGCATATTTTTTGCACCCCAACTTTGAATGCCTCGGTTTGTGCCTCAAAAAATATACTCTCTTCCTTGGATCTGTGACTCTGGATTGCTGAAAATTAGGTTCTTTGCACCCCAACTTTGAATTTTAGCATTTTTTTTCTACGGATTAATGCAATCAGTTTGTTGATTTTTATACATACGTTTGTGGATGAAGGGTTTAGGTGCTCTTGAAGATGCCCACCCTGATTTTTTTACACCAAGTGGAGATGGCGACCCAGGCATTCCAACCGGCGCAGGTCCTTCAATCTTTTCAGTTTTTGGTAATTTTTTATTGCTGTTTGGTTGCTGAGAAAGAGAGGGAAAATAAGAGAAAGTATCAAAGTTGATACAAATCATTTGTTTTTAGTCACATTGATTTTTATTGTGAGATATTATATGACTATAGTTTATAATTACCTGTGGACTTGAATAGTATTATCTAAAGCTCTCTCACTACTCAGATGTATCTATATAGTAAGAAATTGCTGTGCAGGTGAACTACAAACCTCAAATTCTCTCCTTCTGTATATTTGCGGTTGCTTTTCCGTATAAAGCTTCTCTTGCAAAGAAATTCAAAGGCCTCTAATTGTATTCATGGACTATAACTGTAATTATACAATGTACATTATTATTTAAATGTAATAAGGTATAATTTCTATATAAAGTCAATTTAAACTCATTAAAATATACGATCTTTAAATACAAAAGTACATTTGAAAGAAGTTTAAGTAATATATGAATGCCATATATTTTATTATGTTCAAAATTGAAATTAGAATCGTGCTATTCTTTGATATGAATGAAGTACATGGTGTTCTCCTTCAAAATTGAAATTAGATTTCTCCATCCCCTTAATTAAATGAAATATCAGAAAATTACTTTCCCCTTGCTTTGTTTGCCAAATATTATGCTTATATCTGTTTAATTTCATTTTCTATCAGCAAAAGAACTGTGATACCAATGTTTACTCATCTTTTCCCAGGGAAATACTGCATTTAAGGAAAAGCCTGAAATAATGTTGTCAAGTGCTATACCGAAGCTATCAGATTGAACATGATGTGTGCAACTTATGATTGCAACCGTGCAACTGCTTACTTGGAGGTAATAGTCATTCTATTGCATGCATATCTTTAGAATCTTTGTTTTCATAACTATTGGTGAAAGCACTGCAGATCAAATCATGTTATATATACTTATTGTAAACAGTTCTGTTTGTAAAAGGACAGTTGGGTGGTTTGGCGTTAGTTGCTGTTATCCAGATTTGTATCTTTATGTGGAAATGAGTCGTAGCTGGTAAATGAGAAGCAGAGTAAGCAAATTACGGAGATACCTCCGGAAGAGTACAAAATGCCACTGGTATGGATTGACTTGGAAATGATTGGTGTGGGTAAAATAATGTATGTTCCCTTTACCTTTTGTTATTTGTGGATAAAATAATGTAGGTTCCTGTCATGGTTTCTTTTTATTCTCCAAAAATAGATTTTTAATATGCAGTTTACTGAAATTTCAGTCCTTGGTGTGAAGCTCCTTATAAGGATGCTGCAGAGAGAACGGCATCTGGGAATTTACCTCTTAATGCATTTTTGTCTGAGGTATCTTCGTTTTCATTGCTACCCTGTTTAAATTAGCTTACATATGCTCTTCGTGGATTTTTTTTCCATTTATTTTGGATGATATACATGTTTCCCTTTTTTCTTTGTTTAAAGAATCTCCTTAAGCCAATTGTAAATTGTAACTGTATCTTTGTTTTTTTGTGATTCCATTGAGCCCTCATGACACTGTTAAATCCAAACCAAAGTTTGGAGAGTTTGATATATGTTGGATACAATGGCAGTCCTGCTTCAGCCATCCATGTTACTAGAAGAAGATCAGTAGATCGTAAAAGGAAACAAACAGAAAGAAATGTTAGCTGCTTCGTTTTTGGTCCTAAAAATGCAGGAAAATCCCCTCTTTTAAATTCATTCATAGGAAGGTATGGCTTTCCCCCTTCACTGTACTCAACATAGTAAATTAGTTCCGTATATTATGAATGTGAAGAGAAAGGGTACCACCATACCTAATCCCATTTTCTGAATCTTTGGTATAACAAAATTTATTGGGTGATAACTTCCTAGCTCTCAGATGCTGTTATAGTTTCTACACAAATGAACTATTTTGCTCCTGAAACTACCCAATCTTCTTTTCTTTTTTCTTTTCAAACTGAGACAAAGCTCACCGTGCCTCCCTTTCCTGTTTGACTCTGGTCTATCTTCCATCTTAAAAAAGTATAGCATCTGGTGATTACATATGATGGGATTGTCTCTTGGTAAATGCAACGATTCCCGTTTTAATTTCTCATGTCTCCTAAATCCCTAAGATTGTATTTTTGCCTGATGAGAAGAGAAGGTTCATACTCCTCTTGCCTCTAAACACTTAATTTGGAGTATGCAGTTTTGACTCCTGTTATATTCTCATTAGGGAATAGGGATACAAAGCTCAATACTTTCGAATGATAAAAGTTTTTGTCAAGATTCTGACTTGATATATGTGCGTAGATATGTAGCCTATAGAGAGAGCTATATTCACTGATAACAAATGGATGTGTAGGAACGTATGAGACAACAATCACTCATTCTTGTGTAAACTTCTCATATTGTCTTTGATTGCTTTAGGTGGTAATTATGTTGCTCCTTGAGATAATAATAGTATGACTGAAATGCTCTCTGATTTGTGAATAGATCATTTTTGCAGCATTTTTCCTTTGTGGGTATTTATAAAAGTTTAATTTTGTTCATGCAACTGAATCTTCTAAATGTGGTCCAGATTATAAAAAATGCTGATCTTGAAGAATTACGGGAATTAAGATCTGGTACATATGGAACTGTTTATCACGGAAAATGGTGGGGAACAGATGTTGCTATAAAGCGAATAAAAAACAGCTGTTTTGCAGGAAGATCATCAGAGCAAGACCGACTGGTGGGTTTCCTGAACAAATTTGTTTTGTCATTTTTTCCCATCACCTGCACAGTTGGTGTTGAGGAAAGTTAACATCTTTAGTTGTTTTATGACAATAATCCGTGACATTAAATGTTAGAGTAATATGATTTTCTTTGGCTTCTGGCACCTATCATGACATTCACCATCTGCCTTAAAACAAAGGTGTCATTTTTATCTGGAATATCTTGGTACCTTATGGACAATCTTTAAATTTCTTGCGAAAATTTGTATTTTCATTTGACATGCATGTGAAGTTGATTGTTCATTTGGCTGTATCAGACAAAAGACTTCTGGAGAGAGACTCAAATCCTTTCAGCCCTCCATCATCCAAAAGTGGTTGCATTATATGGGGTAGTACCTGATGGAGGTGGAGGAACGTTGGCAACTCTAAATGAGTACATGGATGCTGCTTTTGGCATGGAATACTCGCATTCAAAGAATATTGTTCATTTTGATTTGAAGTGTGACAATCTGCTAGTGAACTTGAGGGATCCTCAACGACCTATATGCAAGGTAAGTTAGTCTGGAACCAAGTTACATGTTCAGTGATCGACGTAAAAGCACATTATTAGAAAGCATTTTCCTTTGTTGTCTTAATGCAGAATTGGAAAATTTGTTAAAACTAGGTACACTATTACTGTGCCAAAAGTTTCCCAGCTGATCGAATTGGGTAGATCCAATGGGAATTTTCTCTTATATGGAGGGTAGAAGTCAGAATGTGATGTTTGTAAAGGAACCTTTTATGTGAAATTTTAGCCCCATATCAAAATGTTTCTTTATTTGATTTTTTTCCATGGGGACTTGGATGAAAGATTTTTTTTTTTTTTTTTAAATACTGGTGATTGGGGATTGATCTTTTAGGTTGGAGATTTTGGTTTATCGAGAATCAAACGCAATACTTTGGTATCTGGTGGTGTGCGAGGAACTCTTCCTTGGATGGCACCAGAACTGTTAAATGGTAGCAGCTGCCGGGTTTCCGAGAAGGTAAGTATGACTTTATATACATGTCAGCAATGTAAGGAATTGTTTGTTTAGTAATTAACGTTATTGAATTAGAATTGTTTGTTTATTACTTAACGTTATTGAATTAACTTTGACAGGTTGATGTTTTCTCATTTGGAATTTCACTATGGGAGATCTTGACCGGGGAGGGAACCATATGCCAATATGCATTGCGGTGCCATCATTGGTAAGTTTATGTCATGGACCTAGTTATCATCAGTACTGATTGCGAATGAAAGTCCACCTATGTGATGATTGAAAGGGAAATAAAATGATTCTTTTATAAAAGAAATTTTGCTGACGAAAAATATCTTTGTATCTGTTTTGAGCCTCTTTCCCTTGCTTTGAATTAGGATTAGTATGGGACACTTTGTATCTGTATATCATTTTTTCTACTGATTTGGAAACTTGTGAACGAAGGTGGGATTGTGAAGAACATTCTTTGACCTCCTATTCCTGAACGGTGTGATTCCGGGTGGAAGAACCTGATGGAGCAGTGCTGGTCACCTGATCCTGACATCCGTCCATCATTCTCCGAGATAACTAAGAGGTTGCGAGCAAAGAGACGATCTACAGTTTTTCTACTAAGTTGGTGTCCATGTATTTTTGCGGAAGAAACGATTCTCCATATGTATATAAACACAGAAATCATAGAGCTTTGTTTGGTTTACCTTGCCCCTTTTCTTTTCTTGATCTGTAAAATGTGCATTCACCAGCCTTTGATGATGATGGCTCTTCGTAGAAATAAAACCAACACTGAATAGACGATAGATGAGTACTTAACCGTGCTCTATATGACTCCTCGTCTATTTATTGTGCCCTAGTTTTGATTTTTGATTAAAAGTGTGTAATCAGTTATTCATATGTGACAAATGCTAAGGAGATTTTCTCATAAGTCGAACTCTCTATGAATTATGTCATCTTATGTTTTAGTATAATATTTTATAATATTAAAGTCGAGTCTCCTTAGCATTTTTTTACGTACACTTATATTTTTTGTAAGCAAAAAAGTATCGAAAACGAAATTGCACCGCAGCCATCAATCAATGATTTTGGTCTCCTTCAAGCCCCTGGTAAAATGATTCACAACTACCAAATGCTTTTTAAAATTGGCCTCAAGTGGGAATTCATATTGGTTTCCAAATTGAGTTTTGGTAAAACACAAAAAAAAGTAGCCGTATTACGGTTTGGTGATATTTTTTTTTACTGGTAAGTGAAAGGTTTTTGCTTTTTAAAATTGGCCTCAAGTGGGAATTCATATTGGTTTCTAAATTGAGTTTTGGTAAAACACAAAAAAAAAGTAGCCGTATTACGGTTTGATGATATTTTTTTTTACTGATAAGTGAGAGGTTTTTGGTTCGATTCTTACCAAGGACGAATTTGAACTATATTATTGATAGCTAATTGTGAGACTAAATCCACACTCTCCTCCTTAGTGTAAATAACATCATTTTATTCAAAAAGAAAAAAAAAAAAAACAAAAACAAAAAATAGTTGTTGGGGGACAGCTCAGTGTGGATAACATCAACTGTTCCCACAAACCATTGCTTATGTTTTTAGCTGCTCCAAAAATTTAATTGATCAAAGAGCTTTCTGCAAATTCCATTTTCTAGAGAGAGATGGATGTAGCAATGAACAGACAGAGGGTTCTGCTGCAGCATTTGAGACCCAATTCTTCTGTTTCTTCTTCCAATTATGAATCTGCTCCTCTTTCTGTAAGTTTATATCCACTTTCTTTTCGGTTGACTTCTTCATTTTTGTAAATATTTTTGTTTTATATTATTATTATTATTTTTTTTTAGATTTTAATTTATTTTCTTCTGAATTGTTTTGTTAGGCTTCAATATGTGCAGCTGGAGATAGTGCTGCTGCCTACCATAGAACAGCTGCTTTTGGAGACGATGTAGTGATTGTGGCCTGAGTGATTTAAACTGACTGATAAAGTTACTTGATTTTTGTGTCTTCGTATAAAATTTATAGCAAAGTTTGTAACTTTATTTGCAAGGCAAAGCGAGGCGCTTTTAAGGACACTCTACCTGATGATTTACTGGCACCTGTTTTAAAGGTTTGATACAGTTCCTGAATTCCCAACTCAATTCCAGAGGAATGAATGTGTTTTCTACCTGATGATCCTTGTTTTGAATACAGGCATTGCTGCTAGATTGGAGTCATTGACAGTTGATAAACTTGGCAGATCCCGTAAAATTAACCCTCTAGTATATTCCAACTCTCTTTGTTTACTAGATATAATGTTTAACATAAAGAAAAGGAATGTTTTTTTCGAACTGATATATGTTGTCAATAGGTGGATATCTTTGCACAAGCCCGCGACTGCCTTCTTCCAATGGGTATTACTTCTGAAAATGTTGCACAACGTTATGGTGTGACTCGGGAGGAGCAAGACCGCTGTGAGTTTTTTTAATCTGTTATAACATCTATTAACCGTTAGATAAACTGGTAATGCTGAAGCTGTAATTTAATGAATTTATGTAAATAGGTTGAATCACATAGGCATGCTGCTGTAGCCCAAGCATCTGGTAAATTCAAAGATAAAATTGTCCCTGTATCAACTAAGGTAAATTTCAGTTCGCAAAATGCCTTAGCATAAGTACAATTATATTTTATTTTCTTGTAATTGGTTATTTGTATCATCAGATTGTGGACCCAAAAACCGGAGAGGAGAGGCCTGTTACAATTTCTGTGGATGATGGTATCCGACCAAATACAAACATGAACGATTTGGCAAAACTAAAGCCTGCATTTAAACGAGATGGATCTACAACTGCAGATCTTTTATCACTCGATTTTTATAAAGCATTCTGCCTACTACACATGACAGTTTCTTCATTTAATTTTATACAACTCTTTCTTTACGTATGAAGGGTTTTTTTTTGTTTTGTATAACTTGTTTGAATCATTGTGAATCAGTTCATTACTTTTGACTTTCAGGAAATGCTAGCCAGGTGAGTGATGGTGCTGGAGCAGTCCTACTCATGAAAAGAAGTTTAGCTATGCAGAAGGGACTTCCTATTCTTGATGTTTTCAGGTATGATGTTGATTAACCCTGTTCAATCTAATTGCTTCAGGTAGAAAAAATATGAGGGCTCTCGAGTTGACTCTGTAATGCTGCTATGTTATATTAATTCTTAATAATTCTTTTCGTTGCTAATTGTTGTTAATTTCCATGAGATGGATATGTTCAAGAACTAACTACAGTTTGCTTTCTACTTTCGATACAACTTTATGATCTCTGTGCAGGAGTTTTGCTGCCAGTGGTGTGGATCCCGCTGTCATGGGAGTAGGTCCAGCTTCTGCAATTCCAGTAGCAGTGAAATCTGCTGGTCTTGAGCTTGATGATATTGATCTGTTTGAGATAATTGAGGTAGTCCATTGCTAATGAAAACTGTAACATTCACGATAAATGTAGTTTAGTTTGGAAGAATGTTCGGCTGAGCAGTTTAATTGGTTTTCTGTAGGCATTTGCATCTCAATATGTTTATTGTTGCAAGAAATTGGAGCTGGATCCTGAAAAAGTCAATGCTAATGGAGGCGCTATTGCTCTAGGCCATCCTTTAGGCGCTACAGGTATATGAAGTGAAGCTGAAGCTAATGTGTGATGACATAAACATGCGTGCACGTGTGTCTAATGTGCTATTATTTGGTTTATTTCCTGGTCTTACTGAACAACGAGGAAGTGGGGGTCTGTGTGATTTAACGTGAATACTGTATCTGTTCTTGTGTTAGGTGCTTGTTGCGTAGCAACTCTCCTAAATGAAATGAAGCGTCGTGGCAGGGATCACCGCTTTGGTGTTATCTTCATGTGCATAGGTATGGTTTTGCACCCCTTCAACTTGATTTGTTTATGAAGGAAGGCAGAATATTGAGAGCTTGATATGAGAATATGAAACTCAACTAAGCATGTGTCCTTGTTGCAGGCTCAGGTATGTGGGCTTCTGCAGTTTTTGAAAGAGGGGATTCAGTTGATGAGCTATGCAACGCTAGAACTGTATAAAGCAACATCTTGTGTCAAACGATGCTAAATAAACACTTGTTTAAAGCAACAATCTTGCAGGTTTCTTCCTGTTATGCTTTTTATATTATGGACTTTGTCCGTTAGTTGTCCTTGCCACACGTTTTATAATTACTTTGATTTTTAAGGACTTCTTGTCCGATAATTTTCCAAAACAAAACGTCGTTCAAGCATTCATTGTGCTGGAAGTTAGCACAATGAATGCTTCTTTTGACTAATTGAATGCCAATGGATCGGTGCAGAGAGCAAACACAATACAATCTCAGTGTACGAGCGACATTGCCTTGCTTCCATCTGTGTTGGTGCTTTATCCTTTTGCAGACGGCTGGGATGTTGCGGCCTACTGCAGCACTAATGGAGCCTTCCAACAAGATATTTGCAGTCTGGACTTAAAACGAACTAGAATATACATGCTTCACCTTCCAAACTAGAATCCTGAGTTTTTTTTTTCTCTCTCTCTTTTTATTATTTTGATCCAGCTAGGTCTGGTTCGTTCATCTTGAAATCCACTATTTCCTCTACACGCATGCTATCTTTAGTATTTTTCATTGGCATTTGGGAATGTCTCTCCTGACTCGAATATCGATCGACATTGCTGTTCATATACCTTCGATGAAGCTTCAGGTACATGAAAATTTCATTTAAATTTTAATACTATCCGATCGCGAGAAAGTAAGAAGAAGATGAAGAAGACGACCTCCAAATCCAATGAGGCGATCACTTGTAAAATGGCACAAACCAAACAATGCGAGATAATTTCCTTGTCATTTCTCAAGCTCACTGCTCAACTGGTCATGCAAGTTGGGTGTCATGCAACTTGTAAAATGGTAAGTTGGAAGTTTCAAGGAAGCTTGAAGCTTCCTCATTTCCCTCTTTTGGTCAAAAGAACGTTTTTAATTCCGTTCAACCTACGTCATCAATAAGATTCTTAAACCTTTGATTAGATATTGTTGATGTTTCGAAAGCCAACTTGCAAAATTATCATGTGCAATAAGAATAGTGATCGGGAACCATTCATCTTTCAAGTTTTCCTACTTTTACTTCATGCTTTTTTTTTTTTATCCTCTTTTCATGTTTTTCAAACTTCACTTAGTGTCTTGCCTTAAGTTCATGCACATATATTTGTATTTAAAATTGACAGCTACTTAAAACTTTGAGTGAGAAAAACATTAACATTTTGTGTTTACAATTTAACTCCTTGGTTTACCATTTTACCTTCGTTTAACAAATATTTTGCTTGTAGGATTTTAAGAATCAAAGTATAGGGTTTTTTTATTTTTTAATTTTTTTTTTAAATAGTAAAATACAAGTTAGTTAGACATGACCAATCTGTATCAATATCTCTTGGCAAAGTTTCTATAAAAAGCTAAGCATGTCTATGGTGAATAATAGCACAAGGAATCAAGTGATTGAGTTTGAGAAAAAAGTACATATACATGCTACAAGTTAGACCATCTACTTTATGGTACCATTTCAATCACTAACTCCCTTTGTTCTTATTTAGATTTGAATGTATACTAATGAATATTTCCAAAACTAAAATGGAACAAGTGGTAACGCGCTAACTCTCAAAAGATTAAGGCAAGTGGGGTCACCAAAACCATTTTTCCGTCTCAACATCTTTGTATCGTTTGCTGTTCCTTCATATCCTGGTCATCGTGTTCTTTTTCATTATTTATACCCCACACAGAGAAAGCGAGGAGACCCACAAACACAAAAACATCACACACACACACACACACGAGAGAGAGAGAGAGAGAGAGAGAGATGGCAGTGAGGGAAAATATTGGAGGAGCTGCAGAAAAGGGGCTGAAGCAGCAGAAGAACCCAGATGTGAATGACGGGAAAGAAGCAGAGAAAGCTATGAAGATGAAGCCGAACTCAACAGAAGAGGAGATGATGAAGATCATGGTTCCGAGGGAGACAAACGGCTCATGCTTCAAGCCAAAAGCTGGAAGTGTGTTTCCCGCCAAGAGAAAATCCGTGAAACGCATGATGTTTGATCGTTTTGTACTCAAGCACTTTGGCTCCTCTGCTGTGAGCGTGTGGTCTCCCAATCCCCACAAACCCTAATAAAATGTATAGCTATCTTCTCTCTCACTTCTCATCACAACACATGAAACACCACCAAATTACACACCAAGACAGAAGATAGAATTCACCTCATACATATTACCCCCAACAAACCCGCATGTATAATTATCATTCAGCACCTTACTCTTTGCAGAAGCACTTGATTTATGATGTGTACTTGGCTTTTTAATGTTATATGTTGATCTCTGGTTAATTTTAATTCAATGCATAAACACTTAATTTATTATGTGTTTTTGTTCCATACATATGGATGTTTAAACTATTTCCGTTTTGAATGATTTTTTGTAAGAATGAGCTTCAAATGAAGATTAAACAATTAAACGGTTTTGATTATGAAATTTATATGTTTATGATATGTTATCTGCAAATGGTGAAATTCCTTTTGGGATGCAAGTATTTTCTCATTGTTGTAGATTTGTTTTTCTCTTGTATGAAATTGGCTAGTCATTTTGATATGTACGATTGAAGACTTGTTGCCCAAGCTTTTGAACGGCATGATTAAAGGATGACATGCACTCAAATTTTGATATCCTCGAATTTCCAGTTTTCGAACTTTATGTGATCTTAATTACTGTTAATTCCAATTTAATTAATTCCGTGTTAACACGTGTGTGGCTGTGGTTTTGTCATATGTCCTGCTTGTTAGTCTGGACTCTTTGACTGTGGATTGTGATCTAATTCCTGTGTGAACACTTATGATTTTGTTCTCAAGAGCATTTTAATGATACGTTGCAGGCGCGTTTCAAGGTCTTCCCACGTGATAGGGTTATTACGAAGGATTAGACATTGCTTCACATTATCTTTCATACTTTATTCACCTTCACATATAGTGCGCAAAGAAAATGTGAAAAAAAAACTATTTGAATACAATAAACCCCAGCCTAAAGTTTAAAGATGTATGTTAAGCAATATTTTGCACAACCAAAGATTAACCTAATACTCTAGCTAAGAAGATTTAGAAGATAGGTCAAGGTCCCTGGGAAAGAACATGTGCCTTTTTCTACTGGCTGGTTGTAACTTTGAAGGCTAATCAACCCCTTGAAATGTGACGAAAATTCACCAATGCCTGTCCAAGTCCCAATCCCTTTGCGGCCTGCTTATTAATTAATTTGATTATTTTTATCCTCTTGTTATCGTTTGCGGGCTAAACAACAAATCTGTTATTAGTCACAATCCGAATGAGATGGCACCAACAAATAGAAAAAAGGATTCTAGGCTTTCTATGTATGGGAGGGACCTCCACCTTTTCCCCGAAGCTACTATCTTTTGCCTACTTTTACTCATAATTTTGTATTAAACATTCTAATTGGAATATGCACCTTCTAATTGGAATATGCACTGATACGCTTTTCTGGCATAGCTTCAACATATTAGTTACAAATTAAGCAAACTAAGCAAGTCCGTGGTCAATTAGAATTATTAAATTTACTCATTAGATATGCTATTATGATAGTAAGCTACTCAGCATTTACACCCCCATATATAACATCTAAGGAGGGATTATAAAAGGAAGGAGGATCACAACCGTCTTTATCAACACCCCCATATATCCTACTCAGCATTTACACATCCTCAATATTTTTTATTTTCTGAAGATGAAAACTAAGAGATTGAAGACGTCGGTTTTAGCTTGTGCTTGCTGTGTATATTATAGTTTAGTTGCTAAAAATAAGTACAATATTTTTTATTAGGGTGCTTTAGATTTTTGTCCTTATAATTCATTATTTCTAGATAAAAACCCATATATCTTTAAAGATCCAGTTTAAGCCCAAATTTAAAATTTGCAAATATATAGGAACACTATTGACATATTAATACAATTTATTTACACTCATGCCACTCATACTTTATGGTCCCTTTTCCAAATTCTTAAATTTATGCCAAATTAAAAGTAGTAGAAAAAGTGAAATAAAACGAAAAAAGTGTTTGCATTAACTGTATCTATGTCAAACTAGAAAAGTAGTTTTTTTTTTCGTGATATATTTTGTAGCAATTTTATCCATATTAATTGGTAGGTAAATTAGTTTGTTCCAATTCTTTAAAAAAAAAAAATACTACACCTATATTATATATTTTGAATCAAATAACATTCCTCTAACTTGTAGGTAAATTATTTTCTATGTATTGTTATATATGTTAGACATGTTTTGTTGTTGTATAAACATGAGTGAAACATAATATTGTTGATTTTATACGTCAAACTGCATTTCTTTTGTTATAGGTAAATTATTTTCCATGTACAAGTACTTATGTTAGGCAAGTTTTGTTATTGGTACATACAATATTTTGTATCATTGTAAAGAAAGATGTTACATTACACCCATGGTATAATTGTTGTAGGTAAATTATTGGAAATTAATTTGTAGTTAGGTAATGAACATTTTGCATCATTGGAAATAAACATTTCAAAGAGTAGGTAGGTAAATTAATTTGTTCTAATTATATATAAAAAAAATTACACTACACCTAGCTATATTTAATTTTTCCAATTATTAAAAAAATTTATACTACACCCAACCAAATAACATTTCTCTAACTTGTAGGTAAATTATTTTTCATGTATTGTTAGATATGTTAGGCACATTTTATTGTTGTATAAACATGGGTATAACATAGTATTTTTAATACTATACATCGAACTACATTTCTTCTTAATATAGGTAAATTATTTCTTCTTTTTAATATACATCGAACTACCTTTCTTCTTAATATACATCGAATTACACCCATGGTATAATTGTTCGTAGGTAAATTAATGTGCATGTAGATAATGAAATACAATGTTCTAATATATTAATAAAAAAAGGATAAATTCAAAAGTATGCAAGAGTAGGGTGAAAAAACTGAATCGAATAGTTTTATGAAAATTCAATACCTTTCTAAAAAATTAATATGCAATAAATTTTTAACATTAATGTCTTTTTTTTTTCTTGTTGCAAAATCATTCACTATTTCCTTACAATTAATTGTCTACATCAAGTATGTAATAGGGGTATTTTAGGCATGTGAAAAATGTAAAATGTGTGAATTAATATGAAGTTAATGAATTTGCTTATGTGGATCCTAGTAATTGGGTTTTCTTTGAGTAAAAAATTTATGTAGGGTTTTATATAAAGAAAATTGAGTTTGAAGGGCTAAAGTCATATTCTCACTTTTTAGGACTGTTTTTTATGAACAAATTTGGTGATCAAAATTTAGTATGGTTTACCATTACTCTCGTCGCAAGCAAAGCAAATTAGATTGGTGAAGTGGTGGGCTGGGTGGACGGTTAGTAACTCATTATGGTAGGTAACGGTGAAACAAGTTGATTAGATTTGGCTTTTTATATATGTCCGAGATGTGTGGTGATCATGAGTCTAATGACGTAGAACCCTTTTACTAAAGATTTTGCATGCTTGTTATCAACAAGTACGGCAAGGAATAATAA